CCTCCAGATTAACATCCTTCTCACATGCAGAATACATTCATCCCATTTCAATTTCTCCAAAAGTCTTAAGTTATTCCAGCATCAACTACAAAGTCTGAAGTCCAGAGTCTCATCTATAAATATGATCTAAATCAGATAAGGGTGGGATTCCAAGGTGTATTTTATCTTGAGGCACATTGCTCTCCACGTATGAACTATGAAACCAAACAAGTTGTGTGCTTCCAAAATGCAGTGATGTAACAGGCACAGGACAGACCTTCCTATTCTGAAGGGGAGAGGCAGGAAAGAAGGGGGTAACAGAGGCTAAGTAAGTTCAAAACCCAACAGGGCAAATGGCACTTCATCTTCAGCTTGAGAATAATCTTCTTTGACTTAACGCCCACCTTCTGGACACACTGGGCTAGGAGTTGGACTTCCAAGGCCTCAGGCAGCCTCGTCCACATGGCTTTGCTGGCCACAGCTCACATGGCAGCTGTTATGGATTGCAGCCACATGTCTGAGGCTCTCCCAGGCTGGTGTCGCAGCCTGTGGCTGTACCTGTCTGGCATCACTGGGGCCCCTCCTCCCATGGCTCCACTGTGCATTGCCCTAATAGAGTGGCTCTCTGCAGTGGCCCTGCTCCTGTGGCAGTTCTCTGCCTGGGCCCCTAGGTTCTCTGGTCATCTTTTGAAATCTAGGTGGAGGCAGCTGCACATCCATAGCTCGTGTACTCTGTGCACCTGTGGAGACGTTGCCATGCTGATGCCACCAAGGTTTGCAACCTATATGGTATCTGGGGGGTAGCCTGGTTTCTACTGACCCCTACAAAGCTCCTTATAGAATGGTCATTTGGTCACAGCCTTGGTGTTCACTACTGAACACGCGACCTCATTTTGTTGTAATGCCATACTGCCAGACTAAGGAATGTTCCAAATCTTTTAAGTTCTGGTTCTCTTTTCATTATAAATTTCATCTTTAAATCATTTTCTCTTCTCACATTTTTCTGTAAGTAATCAAGAGAAGCCACACCACTCCTTCAACATCTTGCTTAGATATTTCCTCAGCCGAACATCCAACTTCATTGCTCACAAGTTCTACCTTCCTCAAAACATTAGGGCATGGACACAATTCAGCCAAGTTCTTTGCCACTTTTTTCCTTCCGTTTCCAATAGATGTTCCTCATTTCCATCTGAAACCTCATCAAAATGGCCTTTACTGTCCATATTTCTACTAACATCATGCTCATCACCACTTAGGTATTATCTAAGAAGATTGAGCCTTTCTCTATGGCTCTCCTCTCCTTCTGTGCCCCCAGCGGAATCACCTTTACCACTAACAGCAATGTAGGCTTTTTCTAGCACAGACCTGCAAACCCCTCCAGCCTCTACACATGATCCAATTCCAAAGTCACTTCCACAGTTTTAGATAATTATTATACAACATCCCCACTCCTTGGTACAGATTTCTGTCTTAGTGCATTTGGGCCGCTATAACAAAAATACCATAAGCTGGGTGGCTTATAAAAATAAACTTCAGCTCTGGGGGTTGGGAAGCCCAAGATCAAGGCACTAGCACATCTGGTGTCTAGTGAGGCTCCATTCCTCACAGATGGCACCTTCTTGTCTTCCTGTGTGTTACCAGGACCCATCTTTTAAGATTCCATCTGGATTTTTTAACTGCTATCTCATGTATCTTCTTTATAGTTTTCGTAGTGGTTGCTTTGGTTACTACAATAAAATTCATAACTTATCACTGTCTATTGGTATCAGCCTTTTATTACTTGTGTTGAAGTCTCACCTCCATATAGGTTCCTCCACATTTCTCACTTTTTCCTTTCATTACCTTGAGATCAGACAGTGGTGTCCTCTTTTTTCCAGTCATCAGATGTGATTGACAACTCGTGAGGAGGAGGGTGTCGTATGGCTCATACTCTGCTCTTTTCATTCTTCTTTCTTCCCTCCTGATGCTCCAAGGTGCTTTCTTTTACTGTTTCCTTTCTGTTTGAACATCTTTTGCTAGTCTTTAAATGTAGGCTTGCTAGTGACTAATCCTTTTAGTATCCTTCATCTGACAGTATCTTTATTTCCCCTTCATTTCTAAAGGAGAGTTTCACTGAATATAGAATGTGTGCTGATTTTTCTTTTCCTTCTGTTCTTAGAAAATGTTGCATCACTTCCTTCTGGCCCTTATGGTTTCATAGGAGAAATCCACCGTCAACCCAATTGATGTGCTCCTATTCAGAATTCGTCATTTCTGTGGCTGCTTGCAGGATTTTCCCTTTGTCTTTAGTTTTCAAAAGTTTAATTATGGTATTTCTTGGCATGGATTTTGGCTGTGGTTGTTCATCTGTTTGGAGTTCACTTGGCTTCTTGAATCTATACATGTGTCTTTTTGCCATATTTGAGGAATTTTTATCCATTGATCTTCAAATACTGTTTAGCCCCTCTCTTCTCCTTTGAGCACACCAGTGATAAAAATGTTGGATCTTCTGTTACTGTCCTGTAGGTGCCCGTGGCTGTTCTTCTTCCTTTTTTTAGTTTATTTTCTGTTTTTCAGTTTGAGTGAATTACATCGTTGCCACAGTCACTGATTCTATCCTGCCATTTCCTCTACTATCGAACCCATCTAGTAAGATTCTTTCATTTCTGAAATTTGGTCTTCTTCATCACTTCTATTTCTTTATGGTGGCTTTCTGTTTTTCATTTCTTCAACAGGATTTGTATTTTCCTGTTGAAACATTTTTATAATGGCTGTTTTAAAATCCTTGCCAGGTAACTCGAGCACTTGGTTCATCTTGGCATTGACATTCATTGTCTTTCTCTTTCATGAAGCATGTTTCTTGGTACTTGGTATGAGAGGAAATTTCTATTATATCCCATTTTGCCTATAAGGAAATTCTGGGTCTTATTTTATCAGGTCGTTGCCTAAGCCTGTTTAGGGAGCCCAATTTGTGGCCTGTGGTCCCACTGACAGATGAATCATCAGAGCCTTTCAGTGCTATTTTGGTTTGCTTGGTTTATTGGGTGTTTCTGGGGTTCCTACTGATGTTTCCTGAGGTACAGAAGAGTGACTCTCAGTGGGAAGGGGAAGCTGCCAGCATACAGCTATGAAGCCTCCCTGGCCTGGCATGTGTTCAAGGGGGTCCTCCGCCTGTGGGAGATGGAGTGTGTTTCCCAGGTGGGGCTGTGGGCCTGCTGAGGGGGGATCCTGCTCTGGTTTCCCCAGCCCCCTCACCTACCCTGGACTCTCTGAGATGGGACGGAGAGGTTCCCTGGGTCAGATCATTACAGTGGAATCCCTTTGGCTGCTTCCCCCTCCTGGTCATCTGGTTTGGTGACAGGCTCTTGGGGACCCCACCTCTATCTGTCCTATTACCTCAGGCAGGCTTCACACGGACCTGATTTCTCAGGAACTTCAGGGCCACTTGTGGTTTTTCCACTTACCTTGTTTGCCAGATCAACAGCACTGCTGTCCAAATGTCCAGATAACACCAATCCCTGCATCACAAAATGTCCCTTCCCAGTCCAGGTCCAAGTCTGCCTGGAAAACTCCAATTCATCCTCTGAATCCAGGCCCAAATGCCCCTCATCTGTGAAGTGTGATCCCCAAAGTGTGATGCCTACCCTACTTCCCTGAGGACAGGATGAGACACAGAAGCACGACTGAGCTGTGGACCTACCGTTCCCCAGCAGGCAGATCCAAGCTGTTCATTAGACAATAGATCAATGACCCCTCCCCCCGCAAGTGGGCGGACCAAGGTGCCCAACACATGATAGAAGGGCGACCCCAGTAGGTAAGGTCCAGATATGCATTGGATAACAGATTGCAGAGAGATGAATGGCGAGCCCACAACCTCCTCCTGCAGCAAGTGGCAGGAGCCTGTCCAGCTGAGGTCTCATGGCCACTGGGTCTCTCCAACAGTCCCCAGGGCTGGCTCTGGTCAGGGACCTAGGGACATGTGCACACCCTACAGAGCCCAGTAACTGTGACGAGTACCAAGCACACTCCCTAAACTACAGTGAAATCAATGTCCACCTTTCCACCTTGTGACATTGGTCAAAGGTCTGGGCAACAACTGGCTTCAAAGACTCACTGGGAGCTTCCTGCTGGACAAGATATAACCTGCCACCACCCATTCTCCTTTTGCCCTAAAGCGGTAACACCAGGACCATTTCAAATCAACTCTCCCAACACAGCTGGGGTGAAGTAATTCCTCTGTCTCCTCAGAGTGGAAAGTTAGAGCCTCTAGGGGCTGACCACTCAAGCAGAAAACTACACTGTTGGCAGGGAATGGCAGCTAACTGAAATATTTATCTGTCCATGACCAAAAGCCCAAAGCATTGCTTCTTTTCTGGTTTGGATCTGAGGGAATGAGGTTAGATGGGGTCCTATGCCTTGTCACCTGACTCAGGAGGGAGGGGACAGGCCCAAGAGGGCAGAGTCAGCAGAAGGGGGCAAATTCCCTTAAGGGAGGGAGGGAGGGAGAAGCCTTGGCTGGGGGAAGGGAAGAGGTGGGTGACACTGGCTGTCTCCAGCATGTGTTGATGTGTAAGTGAATCCACCTGAGTTTCAATATTCACTTTTAGTGCCCACTTTGAATAGACACTGGGAAGTCCCTCGGGCTGGCCCACTTCAGGGGTGTGTCCTGCAGCTGGGGTATTCATAGCAACATCAAAAACATGTCAGGACCCATTACCACCACTGTGCATTGCGGTTAATCTTCAAAGATCTTTGAATATAACATTTCAAAGGTCTCTGGGCAGAAACCTTAATATATGCCTGAAGGCAAAACATTTGTGAATTTATAACTGAATCCACTGATCTGTAAACACACAAACATACATTCATGCATGAGCACACACGCAGATGCACACAGACACATGTGGACAGACATACATCTGAACAAGCGCACGCACAAGTGCAGAGACATTCACAAAACTGCACACATGCACACGCATACACACATGTGCAAACACACACAAACATACTTCAGGGTACTCAAATACCTGTCTCACAGAGGCTTACCAAGTTGATAATTTTATTATACTCTGAATAGAGATGATATTTAAAGAGCAGAGAAAATGACTATACAAAGGATTTATAGAACATTCATTTACATACTGGATATATTCTTTACAGTATCAGAAAAGTAAAAATATGCACTAACAAGTAAGGCAGAGAAGACATTACAAGGTATTTGATGCTGAGGATAAATGCACGGTGACTTTTAACATGGCTATAGCTTAACACTGGAGGAATACAATACGTTCTTTTTCTGAGTAGTTAGTAGGATCCTGGCCATAACATGCACTGCGCACAGTTTGTGAACTCTGGGCATTTACTCTCCAGGGCGGTATGCGCCTGCCCAGTGGGAGCCCTGGAGGCAAAATGCCTGGAAACGTTCCTTTTCCTGTGGCCCTAGAGCCGGAGTCCATGGTGAGGGTTCTCTCACGGTTTCTGAGTCCACAGTACAATCTGTGGTAACACACATCTTGTTCTGTTTAATGCATATGTAACACAAAAGGAAGAAAGAAACCTCCTGTACCAGCTCTTCAGAAATCGTGGAAGCTTGCTTCCTTTGGTTCCTCAGAAGGAGCTATCTGCTTGGAGCAAATTCCCTGGTGCCCTTGACCACGTTTACCTTGCGTAAAAATCAGACCTGGCCAATGAGTTCAAAAAGCACATTTGCACGGCTTCCTGAATGCCATGGAGGCATGGCTTCACGAGGGCCCCTGCGGGCACCCCAATGTCTCTGTGATTCTCTGGTAGGCTGTGCTTCTCAATTCTGCAACCTTAGTTTGCTCTGACTTCTAAATGAGCTCTCTCATCCTTCATCAGAAGGATAAAGGAACTGGCCTGTAATCTTTTGATTAAACGTGGGTAGACACCATCTCAGGATGACGCACCTCTTGAGGAAAGCACAAACCTATGCTCCCCGTGGCCACATTCCTACAGTGGATGAAAAACCAAGATGCCAGAAGCCTCTGCCAAAGACATCAGGGCCAACACATGAGGATCTGCCGAAAATGCCAGCACCTCCTGACAGTCACGCCACCGCACGTTAGGGAAGGAGGCCCACAAAGACCAAGGCAAACATTTGGCACGGAAATGAGGCACTTGGTTTGGTGCATCAATAGGAGCTAAAAAGTGGAATGTCCACCTGCTTTCACACAGGCACACACACACACACACACACACACACACACACACGCACACAACACCCACTGTGATTTGGCTGCTTCCAACTCTGCCTGTTGCTAAGTTTTCCTCGGCCCCTCACTTTAAAACAGAGTTCACAAAGCACATTCCCAAACCCCAGCTCCCTGACAAGGAGCCTGTGACACCAGTGTGGCCTAAGAGTGGGGACTTGACTTTTGAAGGCAGAGGAGAGGGAATTTCAGGCTGGATGGCAATCGGGACAGTCAGTGTGCCTGCAGAGCACCTGCGCTGTGAGAGGAGCGGGCCAAGGCCTTATTCCGACGTGGCCCAGTCTTCTCTCACTCTGGGGATGTTCCAGGGTCCCAAATTCTCCCAAACCTTTAATCACGGACAGATTCAAGCAAGAAAACCATGGCACTGGCATGCTAAAATAAGTCTGAAATACAGTTGATTCAGTGGCTTAGATGATGCCCAACAGTTGCACTCAAAAACAGCTTGTCAGTACTGGGGTTTCTTCTCTTTCTCCTCATTCTCCCTCTGCCCACACATGCCACAAGCACACAGGGTCCCCAACAGGAAGCCCAGGGTGACAAGGAGCAGCTTGAGGAGGGCTGATAAAAAGACGGGGACTTCAGGTCGTGCAGCGTCAGGCCTGAAAATGGTCAAAAAGCCCATGCGGGGGATGCTGAGCTTAAATCCAGGCATTTTCCATCCCTTCTGGACTCTCCCCATCAGAAAGGAAGTCATCCACAATCGAAGAAAGACATTCCAATGAGTAAAACGTTGGGGTGGGCTGCTCGAGGCAAAGCCACCTTTGGGCGGCACCGCACATGGGGGACTTAACAGCAGTGCCCGAAGTCCACTGCACATGATTTTGGTGGCCAGGGGCCTGCGGTGTGTCCTATATGGGGACAAGCCTCGTAAAATCACAGCTTGGCAGGCTGCAGCATTTGACACTGGTACAGCATAGCAATGGCTAATTATCATAAATAATTTGGCATAAGTAAAATATAAATTATATAGAAATGGCATTTTTGCTTCCTTCTTCTTGCTTCTCCTCTCAGGGTCCTCACAGGCTCTCCCCAGCCCAGCTCACCCAGCTCGCCACGGGTCAGCAGGAGGCATGGAGCGCTCACCATGGCGGAGTGGCCAATTCATCCCACCACCCCCCTCCTCACGGCCCATCATCGCAAAGGTCCCTCGTTTTAGGTTCCCCAGTGTTCCAGAAGGGCCTGACTTGCACAAACCTTCGTCAAACATACACCCCCCCTTCTCAGTTTCATTAGCATCTCCATCTTGGAAAGACAAGGTGAGGAAGACCCCTGGCCTCAGGTGCAGCTGGGCAGGAGTGCCCATGCCGACGGGGAAGGAGGGCAGTCTCTCGGCACCTCTGCCTCAAGGGCTTGGGACTCCTCATTCCCCAGAATGCTGGTGTGCCAGGGACATGGGGACCACCTCGTGTTCTGTGCTGTTTCCTTGCAGATACCTTTCCCACAGGGACCCTGGGGGGTGGTACACCCGTGCCAAGCTTCTTCTACCCAAAAAGCGTGTGGCTACAGAGATGTGTCAGATAAGTCACTTTCAGGAAAGGCCAATTCACGGTGATGTTTGTTCTTGTTTTTGTAGAGCTGGAAGATCCTCTTTCCCCTCATGGGCCTGGAATGTCAGGTTCATCAGTTTGGTACAAAGTGGGGACCCCACCCTCACCCCACGGCTGTCTCCAGGGCTTCGAGAGGCATCGGTGGGTCTGGGGTGTGAGGGGGGCTTTCAGACCTTCTTTGGGGAGCCGATCATGACCTTTGATACGAAGTTGACGATGGCACTGGCAGGTTGCTCAGGGTCATGCTCTGCAAACAGGTGGCACACATTGTCCGTGGCACTGCCCTGCTTCCGAGCCACAAATCCAAAGACTCTGCCAAAGGAAAGTCTGGTCAGAGCAGTCAGTGTCCCACAAGGTCCCAAGCTTCTACTTCCTCCAGCTACCAGCAGCACCCCCGGGAGGAATCTTAAATGCCACCTATCAAAAATCTACCATGTACCCAGCACCCTGCTGGCTATCCATTCATGTACTTCACCTCCAGCCTTCACAGACCTGCAGATGAGATGTCTGACTCTCTAGCTCTGCAGTGAGGACCCTGAGGCTGAGAGGTAAGTGGCCTGCCCACAGCCCCAGGTTAGGACCTGAATCAAAGCTGAGGCTCAACCTCCTCTATAGATGCTTCCCCATGCCAGGGCCAGAATCCCCGGATACCTGTCCCTGCAGATTCCCGAGCCCCAGTCCTGACATATGGGACCACAGTCTACAAGGTGAGAAGCAAGGGACTCAGGGGCTCCTGAGATGATGCCAGAATGCCAGTCCTGCCTGGACTTCGACACTCCCACCCACTGGGACCACAGGGGAAATACACCAGGCACTCCCTTCGGGCCTGGGGAGCCTGAATTACAAACTACATAGAGTCCAGGCAGCGTTTTATAAAGAACAGCCCATTGAATTATTTTTCTTAGAAGAATTAGGGCCATTATCTTAATAGGCTTTTACGAGTCCTGCACTTCACACAATAACAACCATTATCCCTGTCCAAATCCCAGGGAAAGGATTCTTCTCTTTCTTAGAAAAATGAAGGATTTTTTTGTTTAAATTTAGCAGTTTCCACACCACAGAAGGGTGTGGAAATGACACTCGAGTAACCCCAATACAGTCACAAATTCCAAGCAGATGAAAGCCCATGTTTCTGAGACCAGCCAGAGAGCGAGTGTGCCCAGAACACAGTCCCCATCAGGGAAGCCCAGCTCATCATCTCTTCTCCTTATCCTCCCTTCTGCTAACACATGCACTGAGTAACTCCCTGGACAGATGAGCCATTTGAAACTAAGATTCCAGGGAACGATGCCTGTGATGAGGCACTGTGGTCATTAAATCTGGGTTATGCTGAGAAAACCTGGCTGGGAGGATGCAGCCCGTTGTGGCCCCGAGTGGGACATTAGGACGAGGTCTCTCAACAACACTGGGCCAGGAATGAGCACAGGTGAATGAAGCAAGGCCATGGTACTCAGGGAGCCAAGGAAAGTGTGCTTATAAAAGGGGACCTCTAAACCAGGCATGGTGACTCACACCTTGAATCCCAGCACTTCCGGGGGGCGAGGTGGGTGCATCACCTGAGGTCAGGAGTTCGAGACCAGCCTGATTAACATGGTAAAACTCCATCTCTACTAAATACAAATAATTAGCTGGGAGTGGTGATGGACGTCTGTAATCCCAGCTACTTGGGAGGCTGAGGCAGGAGAATTGCTTAAATCTGGGAGGCAGTGGTTGCAGTGAGCCAAGATCGTGCCACTGCACTCCAGCCTGGGCAATAAGAGCAAAACTCTGTCAAGAAAACAAAAAGAGGGACCTCTGCCTGGCTGGCTGTGGAGCAAGGGCATGATGAAGGCCCTCCTCCCTTGCATTTGGTAAATTTGGAACCCCCGCCTCAACCGCACACCTGCACACAGGGAGCACTTCCTTCTAGCTGTGCAGACGTCAGCACTGCTGAGCCCACCCTCTCCCAAATGACCAAAAAGGCTGTGCCATCCATCTCCCTGTACCTATACCACAGTGTTATACGACACATGTAAACACTGCACATCCCACCAACAGCTGGGAGAAAAGTTAAGAGCCACCAGACCCTCGTCCATAACGAGAACACTTTTACTTTTTTTTTTAAAGCAATTGGGATGGTGTCATCATTTTCTTATAAGGCACCCCTTACGGAAGCCTGGAACAGAATCCAACTTTGGACTGTAACTGTAGACAGAGAGAATGTAAAGAAATCCCAGCAACTTACTTTGAGGAAGGGCCGTCTTTGATCCACCTTGCAAATTAAAGACAAAAAAAGAGTCAGGTTAATTTTTTACATTAAGGGACAGAATTAAGTATATTCCTTGCTTAATAAAAACGCAAATTTCTTACTTCCTGTCTTGTGGGTCCAAGGCACAGAAAATCACACTGTTGACGGGGTAATGCCTCCGGAAGAAGAGCCTGTTGGGACACAGAGGAGAGAGGATGGCTCCTGTTACTGGGGCTTTTGGGGGACCCGGGATGCACTGGGCGGGCTCTACCATACAGGAAGATTCTTGCAGCAGAAAACATTTTATACTTTTACTCGTCACTTGGAGAGAAGAAAGTGTGTGCTCATTCAAAGTCAACAGATGTCATGAAGTTGGGCAGAACGGTTGTCACCAGTAGACGGAGGCACCACACGGGCCAAAACTGCCAGCTGTGTGGAAGGTGGGAATGAGGTCAAGAAGCCCTAACAGGCCAGGCATGGTTGCTCATGCCTGTAATCCCAGCACTTTGGGAGGCCGAGGTGAGTGGATCACCTGAGGACAGGGGTTCGAGACCAGCCTGGCCAACTTCGTGAAACCTTGTCTCTACTAAAAATACAAAAATTAGCTGGGCATGGTGGTATGTGGCTGTAGTTCCAGCTACTAGGGGGAGAGAGACGAGATAATTGCTTGAACCCAGGAGGCGGAGGTTGCAGTGAGGCAAGATCGCGCCATTGCACTCCAGCCTGGGCAGCAGAGTGAGACTCCATCCCCCCCCAAAAAGGAAGCCCTAACAAACTGGAAAAGCTGGTGGGTGTGAGATGGACACAAGAAAGCACCTCCAGCCTTGCCAGACAATGCTGGCTGCAAGGTTGTGAGGAAACCACTAACAGCCTCCAGCCTCCGAGCCTCAGTTTCCTCACCTGTGAAAAGAGGATCACAATACCAGCCCACCTTTCCACAGGACAGATGCCCAAGTCAGAGGCAATCATAGATCTGAGAGCACTGAGTGAATGGTAAACTGCTGTGCATGGTACGTTCCTTAGGGAAGGGCTCCACGTGGTCACTGATACGACCCTCACGGAGACCTCCATCCAGGCTCACCTGCCAGCCCTCAGTCGCTGACATGACCACCTGGGGCATCCTCCTCCGGCTCACCTGCCTAGCCCTTCCTTCCAAGAGTGCTATCCACCCAGTCCACATGGACCCCAAAGGACACCATCTCAACATTCTGCTGTGTCCAGGCTGGGCCAGTCTAGCTGGCTTTGGGGTCAACCCTCTCCTTCTGGGAGTGACTCTGCACTGGCACAGGGTAAAGCTCATCTGGAGATGAAGGGAGAGGCCAGGAGACAGGCAAGGGCAGAGGCAGAGCCTGGGGGTGCTTCAGTGCAAGGTGACCCTGCAGCACCAGCAGGCCCTCTCAAACAGGTGTCTTTTAAGGCTGATTGTTGGTGAGAAGACACCCCTTTTGTCCAGAATAAGCCAGTCTGAACTCTGTCTCTTACAATATGAAAGATCTGTACTGATGTGGACATGACCCATCTCCAGGGAGTGTAAAGCATGCAGGGAAACTAAAGAAAAAAAGACACCCCTCACAAGGGCACATAGAACAGATCCTGTGAAGAAATAACAGATTCTCCAACGGTAGCAGGGAGGAGGGAGCAATCAACATTGTGAGGGTCCTTAAGGGGCCCAACCCTGACCCTGAATCTACCATGTAGTCAAGCTATGCCTCCAGACCCTGAGTCCACCATGCAGCCTAGCCATGCTCCTAACCCTGACCCTCAGTCCACTAGGCAGCCTAGTCATACTCCTGACTGTGAGCTTGAGTCCACCAGGCAGCCTGGCCATGCCCTGAGCCTGACCCTGAGTCAACCAGGAAGCGGATTCACATCTCAGACCCTAAGTCCACCATGTAGCTCGGCTGTGCCCCTAACAATGACTCTGAATCCACCGTGCAGCTGAGCCACACCCAACGGAAACCCTAGGTGAGCCATGTAGCTGAGCCATGTCCCTGACCCTAAGTCCACTGTGTGGCTGAACTATGCCCAACACAGCCTGAGTCCACCATGCAGCTGGGCCATACCCCTGATTCTGACCCTGAGTCCACCATGCAGCTGAGCTGTGCTTAACCTGGACCCCGGGTGAACCATGCAGCTGAGGCATGTCCCCAACCCTGATTCCACCATGCAGATGGGCCATCCCTCTGACCCTGACCCTGCCATGCAGATGAGCCACACCCCTGACCCCGACCCTGACCCTGAAAACACAGTGGGGCTAAGCCACGCCCCTGACCCTGACCCTGACCCTGAAAACACAGTGGGGCTAAGCCACGCCCCTGACCCTGAGAGCACACTGGGGCTGAGCCACGCCCCTGACCCTGACCCTGACCCTGACCCTGAAAGCACAGTGGGGCTGAGCCACACCCCTGATCCTGACCTGAGAGCATAGTGCGGCTGAGCCATGCCCCGACCCTGACCCCGAGAGTACAGTGGGGCTGAGCCATGCCCTTGACCCTGACCCTGAGAGCACAGTGGGGCTAAGCTGCACCCCTGACCCTGACCCTGAGAACACAGTGGGACTAAGCCACGCCTCTGACCCTGCGTGTGCCACACAGGGCACTTGCTGAGTGCCTTTTCATTTGAAACACTAAACCTTGAAATAGGTATTTTGGTGCAGGGTTGAAATATGAGAGCATCAAGCATTGGGACCTTGCCCAGCGTCATCTACTGGTCTGTGTCGGGGCACTGAATGGGTCTGACCAGCAAAGCCCAAGTTCTGCTTTGTGCTCCTTTTCTCAGCAGATGAAGGGTTATGAGCAAAACCTGCCACACTCACTTATTCCTGAAGCTATGGAGAGGAAGATCCTGCCTTCAACCTCCCAGGTGGTTTGAGCAGATCAAGAAAACGTCCTGCTCCTAGGCATGGGGGCCCTGCCAGGGGAGCACCCTGGGAAAAAACCAGGCTGGTGTTCGTGTCCCCTGCTGACCTGTCTGCTGTGATGGTTCCTACCATCGCGCAGCTGCCATGGTTGATGCCAACATGCCTCCTCAACCACACAAGACAAAATAATTGCATCTGAAATGCTCTGTTCCTAGGCCATTGGCTCCACTCAGGGATGGCATTCTGGGGGGGGAGGGAGAGAGGAACAGGCCTGTGGCTGCTCTGTCCCATGCTCGTGCTAGGCGTTCAGTGAAGGTCCGCAGCAAGAACATCTGCTCCAGCGCAAATGGCTCAGTTTGACCAAAGTCACTGGAAATTGGCCAAAGGAAGTAGTACATATTGAAGCCACACTCTCACCTGAAAGGAGATGACCCTTTGTGAAAACAATAGGTTCCAAGATCAACGGATTCTGATCATAATATCAGAGTGTTTTTAAGTAACTGAGTTAAAAAGGCTTTTTACATTTGCAAATTATGTGTGTATGTGTGTAATATTAAAACATCAAATGTCTTTTTTTTTTAATTTTACTGATTTCTAAGAAAAATCACCTTCAGAACAAATGCTAATCGTTTCTATGTGGTTCCCAGGACCTGTTCAATGACAGAAAAAGGCCTAGACAGACGCTGGGTTACTGACGGTCTTAAGGACGGCTAACGATTTACCTGGATGACCACTCACACTAGGGAAGAGCAAGAGGAAGGTGACAGCCCCACCCCTGCTGATGGCTTCTGCCTCCCTCCAGGTACTCACTTCCTCTGATTGTCTGTCAGGGTGATGCCCTGGGCTGACACCTTGAAGTGCACGACCGTGGACACAGGGGGTGGCTCCTGGACCAGGGTGATGCTCAGGGCCTTCTGGATCGCCTGGTGGCCAGTGAGGGACTCCATCTCCACAGAGTTCAAGTACCACACGTTGCAGGCTGGAAGACACCAAGGGGGACACAGGTTAGTTGCAACTGTTGGGACAGGCATGTCCTGTTAACACACTGTCAATTGCTGATGTGCAAACCTCGGGTTTACTAACGACGTGCACGTGTGGCCTGTCCTGGGTGCATGTAGGGCAGATGGGCTTTGCTCCTCCTAATTCTGAAAGCATGAACAGTGAGTGCTCCAAGGGTGCACTTGCTCCCATGTCAAGGCAGAGAGTAAACGAGTTACTAGAGCAAAGCAGACACACCTGGTGTGGCTTTGCCTTCTCCCCAGCCAGAAGGAGTTTTCCATTCGCCCTGCAGCAGTATTAAACCCTCATGTCCCAGGTGGAGCCCAGGGCACCTTCTCTGGTCTCAGGGTGGGTCTGGACAACAGTCACATTAGCATGGTAGGTAAGGAGCCCCCGAGAAACATCTGTGAGGGAAGCATGTGTCCTGGAATCCTGGCTGCCAAGAGAAGGAATGGCTTGCAGTGAGCTCAGAGAACAGACTGGAAAAAGCCAGTAAGTGGCCCGGCCTTGCCTGTGTCCTGGCTCCTCGTGCTGCCAAGGGAAGGCTGTGGGTCTTGTCCCCACCTCTTGGGGGAAGGAAAACAACTGGGCTCCATAACAACTCTTCTCTCCCTTCTAGCCTGTGATCCTGCAGCTCAAACACAGTACACATGCGACTTTGGGCCGTGGGGGAAACTGAGGTGTTCCGAGACATCCAGGCTTGGCCTGAAGCTCACTCACTGAAGGAAACCAGGCCCTCTCCTGCCCAAAGGCCGAGCAGGCGTCCTCCTGAGGAAAAGAACTGCTCTCACTCACTCGCCCCGTCTGCTGTATACAAGTCCCTCTATGTGAGCATGTACGTATCTTAATTCCATGGTAAAGGCCTCTAAAGTTTCACTAACAGAAAAAGAGTGCTTCCCCACAGTCCACAGCAACACGTCCCAGCACTTGGATGCACCGTCCGTGCTGGGTGGTGCTGTCTCCCCCGGCTGTGTTCTCCTGGGGGAGGCAGGCCTATGGAGCAGCACCATCTTCTCTTTGCCTTGGAGTCTGGCTTTCCAGAACCAGCAAGGCCCATGCCTACTGGCAGGTGGTTTAGCAGGTGTGTTGGCAGGTGCACAGACAAATATGCTGGCAGGTGGTTCGGCAGGTGTGTTGGTAGATGTGCTGGCAGGTGGTCTGACTCGTGGGCTGCAGGATGCACGGACACACAGGCCCACAGATGGGCTAGGATGTCCCTGGATGTCAGAGTGCAGGGCCACTTACGAGTTGCTGGACCATCCTTTCTCTCCACAGCAAAGGCCATTGTGTTTAGAGCTGAAGACACTCTGAGGAACTGAGCCCATTTTTGATGATAACTTGGTGATATGGTTTGGTTGTGTTCCCACCCAAATCTCATCTTGAACTGTAGCTCCCAAAATCCCCATGTGTGGTGGGAGGGACCCGGTGGGAAGTAACTGAGTCATGGGGGTGGGGCTTTCCCATGCTGTCCTCGTGACAGTAAGTCTCACAAGATCTGACAGTTTTATAAAGGTCAGGTTTCCTGCACACACTCTCACCTGGCACCATGTAAGATGTGTCTTTGCCGTTCCTTCGCCTTCCGACATGATCATAAGGTCTCCCCAGCCATGTGAAAGAAACTGTGAGTCCGTTAAACCTCTTTTTCTTTATAAATTACTCAGTCTCAGATATGTTTGTATTAACATCATGAGAACAGACTCATATAGTTGGTGATATTTATCAGGTGAATCTGAAACACCTAGAAGTAACCTAGAGGTCCTGCTTCTAAGGAGATTGAGAAAGGAAATGTTCTATAACCACATGGGATAGCTAACCTGCAGAGACAGACATTAGTGCCACATATTCATTATATTCCCATTATATGGGAAAGATCAGGAACACACTAGAAAATGAGAAAGGGGTAAAATGAGCCCCCTCAGTGGAATACCACACGGCCAGCAAGCGGTAACCAGGAAAACCACACGGCAGCATGAAGAGACGTCATCAGCAATCAGCAGGGAAAGCAGAATAAAAGCCACGTCTGCTATGATTAGAACGCGAAAATAAAAAGCATGTGTGTATACAGACAGGAGCTGCGAGGGAGCCTGGAGAATTCGAAACAGACCTCGTGATGGGGACAGCCTGTCTATGACTGTACTGGCATTACTGTCATGCTATTCATGCAGTTATAAAGGAGAGAAAAAAGGGGAAATTTTGACCTAACTTACTAGGAAAATTCCACAAAACTGGCACAATCTCAGCCAGTTCACACAGAACCACGGCTGCCATAGCCCAGACCCACACACTCTTGAGAGAGTCACAAATGGCTTTCTGACGAGGAGCAGTCCGGCTGGCTAACGTTTGGTAGGAATTTGCTGTTTGGGGAATCTCTCTCCCTAATGCAGGAGCTATGTCATCACTTCTCAAAGCAGAGAAGAAAATGCTGCCACTAGGTTGGCTGTTCATGAAGGGGACACATCAGCCAATTAACACCAAGTGCCCCAAAGCCTTTCTCCAGCAGAGAACAGGCATGCCTGTGCCTGCCTGAGGGTCGACGCTGTGACTGTCCAACTGCACCTGGCCCAAGTGCTCATGCCAGAGGTGAAGATTAGGTGCCCAGTGAGAGTTACCAGGAAGACGTCCACCAGACCCATGGCATGGAGCTCTGTCAATTGCTGGCTACTCTGGGAAAGGGACTTGATAACACAGAACAAAGTCTGGGGCCCACATGTGGGAACTTGTCCTAAGGCAGCAATCCAGAATTCAGAAAAAAAGGACATAAGGCAGAAAGATGGTCACCTAAGCATCGTCTGTGGTATTAAAAATCAGAAACATTCTAAATAAACAAGCATAAGGAGGTGAATTACGTGCAGGTCCAGATGGACCGTTGTGTAGCCATGAAAAATGGGACCTGCATATGTTTGTAAAAACCATGGGTAAACTTATTAATCTAAGAGATGTGAAAAGAATCATACATGCAGCATGACTCCAACTACAAGGAAAAAGGCAGCCTATGATTGGATCTGGTTGACATTAGGAGTGGTCTTTGGGCTGGAGAACACTGAACCTGCTGTCCACCCTTCCTCCCAATATTCAGGGACTGCCTAGGGGTAACAGATCTATCATTTTTCCTTTACTTTTGTTTTCCATTTTTAAAATTTAAAGAACATATATGACTTTATTTTTTAAAAAAAGTATACGTACCATATGCTAAAAAATGCAACCACAACATTTCTGGGAAATCTATTATAAGGCTAGTAAAAAGAAATGTCTTTCTTTTCAGGATTATATTATATTCCTCTGCTTCAACAAGAAACAATTAGGAACTGAGGCTTAAAACACAAATAGAAATAGTTTTAGAGATTGGAACAAAGGCATAATGGCCTTAGTATCAAATGAAAAGGGATTAAACTGGAAAAAATTAAAAGTTCATTTTCATCTTTGTAAGTTGTCTGACTGCTAATATTTCTGAGTCTCGGTTTCCTCTATCTTTATAATGTGGAAATTGGACGTGATCATCTCAAAGAACATTGCACATCCAGGAGTCTGGGACTCTAAGCGAATTAGGACAAGACATGAAGTTCAGTTTAGGAAAGAAAACTAAATTGCTGGAGGTCATCAGAGATTGCAATAGTTCCACCATCTTGCTACAATGGTTGTTCTGCGCTGATTCTAAACACTTGCAGCCAATCCTCCAGGGGAAGACGGCACCAGCTGAGGGGTGGTCACTGTGACAGTCTCACTCCTCCGGTGACAGATCTGCTGTTCTGTTTCCGTGACTTGGAAACAGGGTTAACGTAATGGACAGCAAACATTCGCAGCTCTCAATGTGTTTTGGAAATGACATTTTTAAAGAAAAAAAGCTTAATATATAAATGCCCAATTCAGATAATTAGATACAAACTCAAAGTTCTGAGTGAAGTCGTCTGACTCTAAGAAGACACACCCTTAAAAAAAAAATTGGAGTGTTTGATACATTTCATATGTAATGTTAAAAGATGGGAAAATGTACTTAAAAATGATAAGGCAGGATAGAAGAGAAAGTTGAAATATCTAAAAACAAGCGCTATTGGGATGCACTGTTACGATCGACTAAATTCACCCAATTCATCTATCAATCCCACACTTACTGAGTGACTCTATGATAACTAGGAAGCTTAAGGACAAAACTGAAACACTGCTCATGATGAGAAGGTGCTAAATCAAAAGAACAGAATGCACAGATGTGTGTGCCCTGGTGCTACCATACAGGGCTGAACGGGCAGGGCTGTGTCCCTGAGCGGATATGGGCATGGCTGGACGTGGGAGCTGAACGCCAGGCCTGGATGTGCCACTCAGGAGCCAGGGCTGTCACGATGGGTCCTCTGTCTATGACACGGGATGACAAGACACTACATGCACAGGCCCTGGGGGTGGAAGAGAGGAGCCAACAAGTTGGGCAGGACAAGTGCTCTGTGCCTGCTGCCATCACCAATCTTCAACGCTTTCCTGAACACTGCCAATGCATATGTTGTGGTTTAAAAACCACAATCAAATGTTTTCAAAATTTCACATACACTTTTAAAAGGTGTGACTGACACAAATAAATCCATCAGAGTGGATCTGGTGTCAGAGCCCCCGTCTTCCCAGTTAAGAGTGAGTGAGCTGCTCATCAGAGAGGTCTGCAGTGAATTCCTGCATCCTCCTGACACTTGACTGGGACCCACAGACAGGGTCCACTGTTACTTTAACAGCTTTAAAAGCTAAGAACCATGATGGGCTCCAGGGACCCCCTAAAACAGATTTGGGGGCTGTGGTCTAGGATCAGCCCAGGCCCAAAGATGGGATCTAGAGCTCACAAGGGAAAGGGTGAGGCCAGCTTCCCAAGAAAGGCCATTCCTCTTGGGCCAGAAAAACACTCCCAAGACACTTTCAATGTCCTAATCATTTCTTCTTTTCAACTGCTATGTGTGGAAATATTATTACCCCCACTGACCAGATACAAACCTCAGGTCTGAGAGGCTAAGTGATCTGCCAGAGATCAAAATCCTGACTGGCAGAACGTGCCCTGAAACCCATGACCACAGGTACACTTTTCATTTTGGAGCTTCGAGCTTCAGCATACTTGCAATTTGGGACAAGCTATTTTCACCTTTACTTTGGCCACAGATAACTTATTGTATAAGGAGAGTCTAAAATGACTTAAACACTATAAACATTCCATTCAAAACAAAGCAATTTTACTTTAGCTGGGTAACAGACACAGTGATGTATAATTTTACAGAGGAAAGCTACATAGAAGAATAATACAAATTGTAGAGAAAATAAGAAAATGCCTGCATATTTCATACAGCTTCCTTGTGGAGTTACACCTGTAAAATAATCTACAAATAGATGAGGTATGGAATGGGGGTATTTCTAGTCCAATCTTCTACCAGACTCAGAAATTCCCTCCCCAACATTTCTGAAAGTCAATACCTACCTTGCATGAAAAACTTCCAATGGGTTTGAAACTCAAGGTTTGAAAGTCAGCATGCCCCACTGTCCTCTCTGTGTCCCTCCCTCAAGGCCACAGAATCACAAGAGCCCTATGGTGTGTGGTTTGTTTATAACCTTCTTACACTGGGGCCACTAGGACTGCATCTAATGCTGCAAAAGCAACCTGGCCTGGAACTAATGAGTGATTACAGAAAGATTGCTGGATACAAGGTTAATATACAAATGGTCAATTGCTTTCCTAAATACCAGCAATAAACAAGTAAAATTTGAAATTAAAAACACAATACCATTTACATTAGCACCTCCCAAAAGCTACTTACATTTAAATCTAACAAACTATAGACAAGATCTGTATGAGCAACACTACAAAACTCTGATGAAAGATACAGAAAACTAAATAAATGGAGAGATATTCCATATTCATGGACAGGAGAACTCAACTTTTGTCAAGAAGACAGTTCTTCCTAACTTCATCTATAGATTCAACACAATCTCAATCAAAATTCCAGCAAGTTATTCTGTGGATATTGACAAAGTGATTCTACAGTTAATACAGAAAGGCACAAGACCAAAAACAGCAAACACAATATTGAAAGAAAAGAACAAAGTTAGAGGAATGATACTATTTGACTTCCAGGATTACTATAAAGCTAAAGCAATCAAGACAACGTGATATTGGTGAAATAACAAATAGGTGAATTAAATAATTCAAAAGTAGACTCACATGAACATAGTTAACTAATCTTTGACAAAAGAGCAAAAGCAATATAACTGTGAAAAAACAGATTTTTCAACTAGTGGTACAGAAGCAACTGGACATCTGCAGGCAAAAAATTAAAAAATGAATCAAGACACAGACCTCACATCTTTCACAAAAATTAAATTAAAATGGACCCTAGACTTAACAATACCTTGAGAATAACATTGGAAAAAAATCTAGCTGGTCTTGGGTTTGGTGATGACTTTTAAGATACAATACCAAAATCATAATCCATAAAATAGGAAATTGATAAGCTGGATTTTATTAAAATCAAAAATTTCTGCTCTGTAAGAGAATGAAAAGGTGAGCCATGAAATGGAAGAAAATATTTTCAAAAGGCCTATCAAGTAAAGGACTAGTTTCTAAAATACACAAAGAACTCCTAAAATTTAACAATAAGAAAACAAAATCCCAATTAAAAAAACAGGCCATAAACCTCTACGAATACCTCACCAAAGAAGACATACAGATGGTAAATACACAGCTGAAAAGGTGCTCCACGTCATAAGTCATCAAAAACAATGAGATACTACCACACTACTATTAGAAAGGCCACAATCCAGAACCCTGGCCACACCAAATTCTGGCAAGGATGTGGGGCAACAAGAACTTGCATTCATTGCTAATGGGAATGCAAAATGGGACAGCCACATTGATAGACAGTTTGCCAGTGCCTTATAAAACTAAACACACTCTTACCATACAATCCAGGAATGCACTCCTGGCATCCACGCACAGGAGCTGATAACTTACATCCATTCAAAAACCTGCACGTGGGTGTTCACAGCAGCTGTATTCATTACTGCCAAAACTTGAAAGTATCCATGATATCTTTTAATAGGTGAATGAGCTATTGAACTGATACACTGAGACAATGAAATATTTGCTGCTAAAAAAATATGAGCTATTAAGACATAAAAACACATGGAGGAAACTTAAATGCATATTACCAAGTGAAAGAAGCCAACCCCAAAAGGCTATTAGTTATATGGTTTCAGCTATATGACAATTCTGGAAAAGTTGAAAATATGGAGACAATAAAAACATGAGTAACCGGTTGCCTGGGGTTGGTGGGGGAGGGAGGATGAACAGATGGGGCACAGAGGATCTTTAGGACCATAAAATAATTCACTATAATATTATAACGGTGATTACCTGTCATTATGCATTTGTCCAAACCCATAGAATGCAAGACATCAAGGTGAACCTAATATAAACAAACTAGGGACTTGGGTGATGAGGCTGTGTCAATGCAGGTTCATCAATTGTAACATGTGTACCGCTTTGCTGGGGGATGTTGACAGCAGGGAGGCTATGTGTGTATATGGTGTGTCTCTGTACCTTCTCCATTTTAATGTCAATCTGTCACTGCTCTAAAAAAAGAAACTCTATGAATACATTTTTTTTTAAGTGACCTGCTCTTTCTGGCGAGCTGGTTCTTGGGTGTTGTGTGTCTCACTGGGATTGCTGGTAGTGTGGGTCAAATCGTTGACTCATGCCAAGTGACTTGTTGACTCACGTCTCTGGAACATTTCTACATTTACAGCTGCCGAGACAGGTCACCCACATCCTGTCTTACTATATTTTCCCCCAAACTAAATCCAGGGCTTGACATTTATTCCAATGAATTTAGTCTTGCTCAAGTCAGACCAGCCCATGAAGCCCTAGTTGAAGTACCAACAATTGCACCCCACCCAGCTCTATGCAAGCTTCTATAAAAGGAAACCTCCTTCAAGGCTCACAGGAAAGAAAGGAAACCTGAATACTGAAAGTGCAAAAGGAAGTTGTGTCAGTGAGTCCTTTTTCTCCCAAGTCTCCAGATGTGGAAACAGAGCTGCATTTACTGACCTGCCCCCTGCTTCAACAGCTCAGCTGCTGAATTGGCTGCCGTTTGTGGAGAATTTTCTGCTATTTCCTCCAAAGGATCTGTAGGAAGGGGCAAGAAAACACAGAAATGAGTCCTGCTCCTGACCAAGAATCCTCATGACAAAGTTAGACAACCTGATGACAGAATTCCCAGATGGTGACATGCAATGGTTTTGCAGAGTTGAAAGTTTCCCTTTGGGACAATAATCTGACCCAGAGAAACCATGATCACATTCTGAATGAAAGTAGAGATGGGCCGGGTGTGGTGGCTCATGCCTGTAATCCCAGCACTTTGGGAAGCCAAGGAGGGCGGATCACGAGATCAAGAGATCAAGACCAGCCAGGTCAACATGGTGAAACCCCCTCTACTAAAGAATACAAAAAATTAGCTGGGTGTGGTGGCACGCGCCTGTAGTCCCAGCTACGTGGGAAACTGAGGCAGGAGAATTGCTTAAACCCAGGAGGCAGAGGTTTGCAGTGAGCTGGGATCGTGCCACTGTACTCCAGCCTGGCACCTGGTGACACAGTGAGACTCTGTCTCAAAAAAAAAAAAAAAAAAAAGAAAAGAAAGTAGAGATGACAAGGCCTAACAAAATATTTTTCTAATCACTGAATTAGTCATATGAATAATGACATTTTGAAAGATAAATCACATTTACCTATATATTAAGATAGATCATTTTTATGTGAAGTCATGACTGCTTAGGAAAACTGGGACATATGGTCACATCACTCTGATAGGCTGTGGGGGTTGTTTTAAATTTCATTACAGATCTTGTCCAACAAACATAAAAGTAAAAAGAACATTGCATCCATCATCTAAGTTCAACAACATCAACATTTTACCCACTTTGTAGAAACAGAAAAATCCAGCATCAATGACCCTGAAGACTTCTTTGTCTGAGCATCTTGTATTTTTAAGCTACAGAATTTTTGCTCTATAGAAACCCTTCATCAAAATCCATGATGTGAAGCTATCTGGGAGTTGTCAGGTGAAGCAGAATCTCCTCTTCTCTCCTTGATTTGGGTGAACTCGTTGGCCTTTTCTTGGGTTCAACCATGAGTACGTGAACAAGCCTCCAGTCTTATTATTTTTCTCAATGGATCTTTATGGATCTCTGAAACCAGTGGTCTTGGCTTTAGACAATCAACACAGAGCCAGACCCCTTACCTCTCTCTGGGATAAGCAGCTTGCACGGCAAGGCCAAGGGCGTGATGGAATGCTGGCACACCAAGGCCGTCAGGCTCCCTGCAAAGCGAACAGACGGCAAACAAGAGTCAACAACCACTGTAGGTTTTGTGTGCTCAGTTTATCAGCTGGAATGAAACTGATGCGAAGGCTGAGCCCTTATCTTTTTAGCAACCGATATGTCAGATTAGTGTGCAGCTTTGTGCGAAAAACTTCAAAGAAGTAACAAGTTCCAAAAGATGGTTGAGAGGTAAGGAAAGGGAACTGCTGATCACTCTTATCACAGACACATCATTACCAAGTTACAAAGACTAAAGCACACAGTGTGCTGGATCTTGAATTGGGAGGGCTGACATCCAGCCAACTCCAACTTATATTTGTGGCAGGCCACATATATGGCCCCTGCACAATGCTTCCTAACAAAGTTCTAATAACGATGATGCCTAAGGCTGCACTGTGCTTTGTTTGGCTGGCTCAAGCCATCTTTCCAACAAGCTCATGAGGTAGGGAAGGCTCCCAGTTGCAGGGAAGGCAGGGTGCTCTGTTGGGAGCTCTGTGCTGCTCCTTGTGCCTGTGGGATAGGGTCACACGGGGGCTCAAACCTTCTCAGGACTTATCTGCCTGCCAACTAGGACAGAATCTTATTGAAGTCTGTAATTCCTACTTCCGGTATAATGCTTTTCATATGTTTGTTTTTGACAAAGCTTTCAAGAACAATTTCAAATCTAGTTTATCTTAAAGATAATAATTCAGATCAGTGGGATTTCAGAACTGGGGACTGAACAATGAGTGAACCACCACAAGAGTGATGGTCCCAAACCTCAGTTTAGCGAGCAGAGGGAATACAGGCCTCATGAGTTCAGAACACTGATGGCAACCTCTCAAGCAACTTACCGAAATATGGTTCATTCGAGCACCCTTTCAACCGCACTCCCTTCGGGGTACACTCGATCAAAAAGTGCCGAACAAGTTCATTGGCCAAATCTCCAGCTGTGGCAACACATTTAAAGAAAGAAGAATTTTTTGAAAATGAGAGAATGGGAGAATTTGAAAGAGAGAGCACTAAAGCCAGAAGACAGCTGAAAAGGCTCTTCTCCGAAGAGTCCAGCCACTGTGCAAGAGGCTGCCAAAATCCATCTTCATCCTAGGAATGGTAACTGGGCTGCAGGATGGCTGGATGAGCACAGGCTAGGTCAGATGCAGGGCAGGAACCCCTGCAGTGACAGTGTGGGGTGTGCAGAGGTCGCTTGGGAGATGCCCTCAAACATTCTGCAAGAATCCCCAGTGAAGGGAATGAGCTTGCAGCTAAGAAACAGGATCACAAATCTCCAGCTGAATCCCCTCTCAGAGGAGCAATGAGAAAGGCTCAGACACAAGATGATACCTAGAATGAATTGCCGAAAAGAGCTAGAAAAAGGTCAGTCTTCCAGGTGGAATTTAACAAGGAGCTTGGGTCTGCAAAACCTTCCAGAAAGCAAGTACTCAGCTGCACAGGAGTAGCACTCTACTACATTGCTATTAATAGTAAACAGTACATCTGCTTCAGGCCAGCCCATGAGTCCAAAGAGAAAACACATCGTGAAAAGCCACTGAATGGCAAAACTGTCTGAGAGTGGAAAAGTACAAACAGCATAACCAAAAGAACAGGAAGTCACTGCCCTCTGCTAATGAGTCCAACAGGCCTTTACAGTGTGCTGTATTTCTGTGTTCTGGGGCCTTCTTCATCACCCTCCATGGGAGCCTGTCTGCCTGAACTTCTAATATTTCGGATGTTGGAAACCTCCTGGCAGCAGGACCCACTGGAGTTGGGCGTGGTCCCCAGTGCCTTGCCCACAGTAGGCTTCCAAAGGGTGTTTATAAATATGACAAAGGCTGGACGTGATGGGTCATGCCTGAAATCCCAGCACTTTGGGAGGCCGAGGCAGGCAGATCACTTGAGGTCAGGAGTTCAAGACCAGCCTGACCAACATGGTGAAACCCTGTTTCTATTAAAAATACAAAAAAAAAAAAAAACAAAACAAAAAAAACCCATAAATAAACGTGACAAATATCACTGTGTCAGCATTTCACAAGGCCAGTAAAGCTTGCAGAAAAGGAAATGATCAGATTCTATAAAGGGCCGTGCTGAATTAAGCTGGGATAAGAACATACAGTGCTGCCATTCAGTTGTGGGAGGAAAATGATGCCTGGCTTTCAAACTGAAAAGGACACCATGCGTGGGTCTGGATGCCACCTGTGAGAAACGGCTCAGTGGGAAGTCCTTCTGTCCAGGGCTTTCTGGAGAATAGCATTCGGAAAGTCCTTAGCTGTCCCATATCCAGGTTACCGGAGGTGGTACAGTAAATGGCTGTGGCTCTTTATGAGCTGGTAAACTATTTGCTCGGATCTGTCCTTGGATTCTGAAATCTGAATGTCAAATCCAGGGCAGCGTGAAGACACAGCAGCCAGATAAGATTTCACCCAGAGGCCACCAACAATGCTGGGTTTCCTGAAGTCTGCTATTCTAATATCCCCATTTTGTTTCCTTCATCTTAAGATTTGAGTCCAAAGTCTGTCTGAGAGGCAGGATGCATGCACAGAGGTAGAATCAGTTATACACTATCACCTAGATTCTAAAAAGATAATGCATGCAGCAATGTTATTTGTCCTTGCCCTAAAACTTTACACAGAAACCAAGGAGCCAAGCAAAACCCTAGAGCTGCCATCCACCACTCCTGCTCTCGCAATAATCTCATCTCTGCAGACTCGCCAGATGCTCTTGGTCCCGAGACCCTTTTTCCTGCCGTCATTATTCAGTTTGCTTCCAAATAAGGCTTGAACAGTCCTCAACAATCAGGTCGAATTCAGCTCTCCAGCTACAAAAGCCCTTATTTCCACTCAGAAGCAGCATGTTGCTGGGCTTTTTATGCTGGAATTCTGGCTGCTGGAAGATCCTACTTTTCAAGAATTATCTGTTCTTTCTCCCCTACACACCTTCTCTCCACTTCACTTCAAGACACTCAGTGTCCACAGGTTTCAGGGCTGAGCTTTGACTGAGCCCCAGATCCTTCTCAGCCTCACCCCTCCTTCCATTCTCACACCGTTACCTGTGCCAAAATGAACCCATAGATGTTTCTGGAAATGCTATAGCCCTGCCTGAGGCTGGACTGTCTGGCAGCCAAATCATACATTCCACAGGGTGTAACTCCAAGGCCATTTTCTCCAGGAAGCGTGAAGTAGAGGTTTTATCCAGGGATTTGGATAAATCCTCTCAGGTACTAGGCAAAGAGCATGAGTGAACCACGTGGGTGTCTCACTTTTCTGTAAACACAGGGAGTTTAAAATCTGAGCTGCTTCTGATTTCCCCACTTCCAGTTGCCCTTACAAGGAACCAAGGACCTGCAATGTCCCCTCAGTCCACAATTTCCACTTGGGGAGACAGAGACGGTGAAAGAATAGCTTCCCTTTCCTTAGAGTTTGTGGCATGGCAGCACACAAAGAGGACTATCATGGGGCAAAAGGGGAAAGGGGAGAAAAAAGGAAAAAAAAGAATAAACTGAGTATCTGTGGATGCTGGCAAGGTTGTGGAGAAAAAGGAACACTTTTTCACTGTTGGCAAGAGTGTAAAATAGTTCAACCATTGTGGAAGATGGTGTGGCGATTCCTCAAAGACCTAGAGGCAGAAATACCGTTTGACCCAGCAAACCCATTACGGGGTATTATACCCAAAAAACCAGAAATCATTCTATTACAGGTTGGTGCAAAACTCATTACAGTTTTTTGCCATGAGTTTTAGTGCAAAAAGGATTCAGGCAGGCATAGTCTTCTACCTGCATTGGAGATCTCTCATGACGCTAGGCTTACTCTAGTATCACTTTTAATCCATCTAAAAATACCCTATTGAGTATAATACAAGAACAATGCGTGTAGTCTGCTAGTTTTCATATAAAAAGGTGTGTTTGCCTGCGTTTGTACAGGTAATCAGTGAAAAGCCACACACGAATCTACTCCAGATGGCTGCCCACGGGAGGTGACAGGGTCATGAGGGAGGCGGAGCCGAAATGGAAGCAAAACGGGCTCAGTGGATACCTTCTCCTATGGTTCTAATTTTTGAACGACATGAATTACCTATTCAAAACAAAAAAAATAAAATTTACAAATTAATGTTCTTTCTTCAATAAGGCGAATGCTTTGTAATATATACCTGAAAAAATAAATACTAAGAATAAAATGTGAATATTGTTAAAGTCATCTATTTTATTAGCCTAACAATAAACGAACGGGGCTTCTCTGTGGATGGGTTGAACAGATCCATAGGGAGTGGTAACCTCACCTTTCTTGTTCAGCTGGAGGACTGAAGGTGGGGGCGTGGCCACCTTCATGGCCAGGCCATAGGCTCCTCGGAAGGAATGGCTGTCTCTAACGATGAATGAGCCCGGTTCCTTGTCCTTCAACATGGCAATGGCTGGAGAAAGGGAGGAGAAAGACATGAACGTCTGCCAGGTAGACAAAGGTCTGTGCCCACTCATAACCTTGGGATAGGTCCTCTTCCCCTTACTCTTTTCGAAAATTGAGTCAGTGGGGACCTGGCCGGTACCCCGTTGCTTGGCTGGAAGAACAACGTGTCGGTGCAGTTGAGGGACCCTGAGGGAGGTCTCTGTGGTGTCATGTATGTTTCATGGGTGGGCCTGCCTGTGAGGAGGCAGAAGAAACAGGAACATCCCTCTCTTTAGCTAGTCTGAGATGCCAAGTACTGTCCTGGGGGCTGCCCATGGAAAAGCACAGGATTTCTGTTAATCCCTCAACACCTGTGACATCCAAATGATGGTCCCCATCTGACATTCCAGGAGACGGAGGCTCATGCTGAGTAAGAAACAGAACCAGGTCCAAATATACACAAATGGGGGAAGCAGGCAGTGGGAGGGAGGCTGTCACAGCACACCCTGCCACTACCTGGACGTTGCCACCTATGGCATTTGTCTTAAAGATTTTATAACATGGACTCTTAACAGCATAAAAGGAAAGAAGTTTCCAATTACACTTTCTGATGAAAGGGCATGCCCAAAATGTTATTGAAAATTTAATACAAATTCCGAGATTCAACAAGGAAATAACAAAATAGAGGTGGCCCTCTATCCCATGGCTCTGTGGCTGACATGGCCAAATGAGCCCAGCCTGGATGGGGCTGAGGACACCTTCCCCATGTGCCTGCCAACCCAGGGCCCTGCACAGTGGGTCACCCAGCTTCCTTGGTGAGACTGGTAAGCATTCAGCTAATCAAAATCATTGCTTCAAAAATCCTCTCCCCTTCTTGATCACAATCTGGCATTTCTAAGTCCCATCTCATGACACAGGAAGAGGATGAAGTGGGTTAGGGCGACAGTAACTTCAACTTGATGCTGCCAAGACAGGCTAGAATGTTTCCTGATGACTATGTCTCAGAATTTCTTTTCTAGACATTTATTCTTTATTTTAAAAAACGGAGAAAACTGGGGATTTAGAGTATAAACATAATTACAGCCATGGAAATGCTGCCTTTCTGGATTGCCAAAGGCTCTGTCTGGGAGCGATCAGGGCACAGAACATAAACCAGTAAGTGGTGGGATGCCCCTGGCATGCCTCAGTCAATACCTCCACGGCGCACTTCCACAGAGGCCCCTCATGTGCCTTGAGGCCAGGCCGGACCCACAGCCAGGGCATCTGGCCTCAGGATGAAACGAATGATTTCTTTTACACAATTTTCAATGCCCTGCACTGCGGTCCTGTGTACAGGATGAGGTCACATGGGGAGGAGCTCAATATGCCCCTGGGGATGAAGCAGGAGCTTCTGAACTGCAGACAGGGGAAGGATGGGCAGGAAAACACAGGCAGGCTCACTGTGCATGCCCGAGACTGCTGGGAGCACCAGCCAGGCCTGCAGCCATCCACGCAAGGGACCCACAGGCTAGGAAGGGGCCCCTTCTATTATTTCCAGGGCATAGGCCCTGGGAATAAACCCTGAATCCTGATGCATGTTTTCTTACAGCATATTCTACAAACTTGGGGGCTGAACATGTATTACTTTTTTTCAATGTTTAATTTTTACTTTTCTTGAGACAGAGTCTCTCGCTCTGTCACTCATACTGAAGTGCAGGGGTGCAATCATCGTTCACTGCAGCCTCAACCTCCTGGGCTCAAGCGATCCTGCCACCTCAGCTTCTAAAGCAGCTAGGATTACACACATGCACCATCACACCCAGTTATTTTATTTTTTATTTTTGGTTGAGACTGGGTCTCACTATGTTGCCCAGGCTGGCCTTGAACTCCTGAGCTCAAGTGATCCTCCCATCTCAGCCTCCCTAAGTGCTGGGATTACAGGCGTGAGTCACTGGGCCTGGCCTACTTTTCTCTTTTTTTTTTTTTCCTAAGTAAGACAAAAGATCACTTACATTGTTTTTCAACTGTGATATACCTCAGAGTTTGGTTTTTTTTGGTCACGGTTTTACTTCCCTGTGGTAAACAAAGCCTCCTGGGACTGAGACTTTGGGCAAATGTGGGTGGCAGGGGAGGGAACATGGGCTTTGCTCCGCCCACTTCTCCCCAAGCCCCAAGGGAAGTGCAGAGGTTGGCTGGGGGCGAGGGGGCTGCACTCTCCCGCACAGGCAATGGGAGCAAGGGGAGAATTTTAAAGCCATTGTTTTTCCAAACAGAAGTGGGCTGGGGAGCTGGTGTGCTGAAGTTGTAAAATCGAGCAGCCACACACTGCACACGGCAGCCACGCACTTCACCCTGGCACCGGCACCACGTTCCTCGCCTGGAGATGGGCGTGAGGGGAGGGGAGGTAGGTGAGTCTTCTCACCATCTCACACTGTCTCGCCCTTCAACGAGTAATTTCACAGCATCCGGAGAAGCAACAGCCCACAAGTACAGCTGGGACAGTAGTAGTTAATTTCCATTTTACTTTAAGGTCCTCTTTTCCTCCTGAGGTATTTTTAGGTTAGCTTTAGGAAATCTCAAGGAATTAAATATGTCACAAATTGCACTCCCAAAGAGGGTATCTGGGTGTTTTTGGTTTTTTTTCCTGCATCCACCTGAAATGTCACTGTAGCTTTTCTAGTAAAAGGCCCATCTGACAGTTAAAACCCAAATAAATGACACCCATGGGCAGCCTTCCGTGTCAGACTGCACAGGTCTCTTCTATATAAAATATGTAGAAAATGGAGGAGGTTATGGTTTTAGAGCTCAGCTGGAAAAACCAACACCCGATGTACATGTTAGCCATCCTGAGCTGGGGTCCTCCCAGCAAACCTTTTACAACATATGCTGAAGACCAGGCACCTGCCAACAGCAGCCCTACATGTACTGCACATCCACATCCACTTATCCTGCATCTACCAGTGCCAGCAAGGGCAGATGACTCCCACACAGCACCATGCAGCCCCCCACCATAGGCTCGAACCTCGCTACCCTGCTGAAGAAGCCACCAGTGCGCTCCAACCCAAATCTGTCTGTTTCAGATGCCCTCTGCTTCAATGACATCACACAAGGAGAGAAGGGGGCGTCTCGCCCCACACATCGCCCTGTTCTAAAAGACGGCGCCAACAGAGTGGAAGGGTCTGTGCAGAATCTTCTAGGACATGGTGCTGGATAAGCACCTCTCAGTCTGGCCACAGTCATTGGGATTCTTGAGACAAGCAGGGCCTGGGTGGTGGCAGTAGGCACACAGCATCCGGCCGCAGATGAGCCCTCGGCCATGGTGAGCAGCATTTCACAAAGGCCAATTCAGGCAGATGAAGGTCTTTCCAGGCCAAGGGCTTTTTTTCTCTCTCTTCCACTTAAAATGACAATCGCTTCTTTGAGATCGTAAGAGATGCACATTCTTACCATTTCTATCATCTACATAACTGAATAGCAGAATTTCAGTGGAGAGCTGGACAGTGCTATTTTTCTGCCACTCAACTATTCATCTCTAGGCATTCCCGAGGCATCTTCATAAGAAGAGAGCTTGATTTTCTTCTGAAGCAGAGATAAAGGGGCACAGAGTAGCCAAGCAGGTCTCCCGCTGACTGTGGGCAGCTTGTCATTTCTGACTGCTTTAAACCACCCCGTTCCCTCTCTTACTCCAGCCTCCACCAGGCAGCCGCTAGGAATCATTTTAGCTCCTGGGAATCCTGACGCCATCTTCCAGGCACTGGAGGCACAGCCCCACCCCCCCTTGCCAGGCACACACTATCTCTCCCGGGGTACATCCCAGGAGCAACAAGCTCTTTGCACTGCCAAAATGAGGGATCCAGAGGAAGGTATGCTCAGCTGAGACAGAAGGAAGGAAGGGAGGAAGGCCGTCCGGCAGCCAGAGAAGCATCTCGTGAATTCTGCTCATGGCCCAGGGGCTGCCTCCGGGCAGGGCTGCCCAGAAGAGCTTGCCAGCCCTCCTCTTCCGTATCTCTTCTATTCATGCTCTGGTAAAAACTGATGCCACACTTCATGGCTCAAAAATATTAATAATTTCAAACTGTGAAAGACTGCCTGACACTCTACCAAGCAGAGAGATGCTCGGCCTGGTTTGTGTGCGAGGCAAGCGGTTAAGCCCACAACCAGTTCTCATTGCTAAGTGCTTATATAGGTGTTCACCAACACACAGTGTCCCTGACTTCTCAGAGCAGGGCGTCTCTCCTGCTTCCTCAGCCCGTCCTCTGTGGCTTCATGGAGATGCAGGAGAGCGTGTCTCCTCGTCACAGTCAGCAGTTGTGGGCTGGCATCACTGGCAAGCCACTGGCTGGTACAAGCAACCAGAATTATACCCTACACGCTGGAATGCTCATGGCTCGGGCCCATTCCTCACCAACTCCCTCATTAGTAGCGAGTTTTCCCCTATAAAAACTTAAAGGTTGTAGCAATTCTCCAGGAGGCATGTAATAATATGTGGGCCCTGCTCTAACTCAATCCATACCAAGGCCGCGGTTGTCTGATGTTGCCACTGCAGTGCCCATCCTCACTCAAGGCAGCTACTCGGGCAGCAGGAAAGATGCCCAAGGAGGCCCACATCCTCCCCACATACCTTGTTCTCTTGAAATATCCGCCTTGTACCAGAACTTGGAAGTGTCTTGAACAAATTTCACAATCACAAGTTTATCACCTGGAATATCTGTAAAGCAAAATTTAAGAACAGTGACTCTGTGAGGGGCACTTCTCTTCTTGCAGCCTCTCATCTGCTGTGATCCCAGAAGTCCAAATCCCATGCCAGGGGCAGGCAAGCAGAGGATGCTCTAAGGAAAGGGAATCCTGCCTTTGCAATGGCTGAGCTGGAGGAGGCAGTGACTGTCTTACAACACAAAACAAAACAACAGGATACTTGGATCTAGACCTTTGCAATACTTTTTAAGAATACATGGAAGGTAGGGAGGACAGGGAGCAGGCCTGGTGTTGTTTACCCATAGACCACGTTGCTTCTTATACACTTGAAATATTTCATAATTACCTTTCGGATGAATTCATTTAATTTGAAAAGGAATTTGTTATTTACAGAAAGCCATGTTCCCAAGTGAAATGGAAAATAGAACCACTGCAAATGTCTGCACTTTCTACAGATGGAAGGAATCCAGGGTGGCCAAACACAGAAGCCAAGAAGAGTGAATGAGGGGCCTGGGCCAGTGCTTGGCTTTGGGAGAGGAAAATGGAAAATACCCCAAAGGCTCCGGATTTTCTCTCCAGGTGCCCAGCACAGCACTAGAGATATGCCTGCACCCCAGCTCAGCTGCAGGTCTCAACCCTTCCTTTCCTGAGTGAACGGACAGAGGGGCCCTTCCACCTGCTGGAAACACACCTACCTGGCAGAGGCGAGGCCGCTTCTGAAGTCTTGGAAAAGTCCGGAAGGACATTTGGGAAGGGGATACTGATGGTGCTCCCACTGTGGGGGCTGGAGAAGCCACTGGAGGAGGGGGAGACTGAGCCCAAAGAACGATCCCCCTCCGAGGCCCGCTTCTTCTCAGGGAGGGGCGGCTGCCCAGGCAGGGTCGCACTCTGGCCCTGCAGGCCTGGACTGTAGCGGCCGCTGTGTCCAGGTGCCACCGTGAGAAAGTTGTGGGACAGGAAGCCATTGTCAGCAGCCCCTGTTGCTGTCAGCGGGATGCCGGGGGCTGGTGATGCTCCGTGAGAATTGGCCAGCAAGGCCCCCAGGTCCTCCTCGGGGGGAAGGCCACTTCCCACCTGGGCAGTGCTGAAGCCCAGGAAGGCCTGGCTGCTGGGGGGAGCCAGGGAGGCCGGTGGCTCTGCTAGGGACAGCTCATGGCTGTGGAAGGAGGCCTGGAGCTCTGCCGGCTGGAAGCAGGGCAGCACTGGGGAGTCCTTGCTGACACCGGAGAACTCAGCATTGAGGGGACTTCCGGTGGGCCGGCAGCTCCCCAGCAAGGACACTGCGGGCTTGGGGCTGCTCTCCACCCACTGGCGTTCAGCAGAAGAGGAGCTGTTCAGAAGACAAGCCAACCAAGACGGCATGTAAGGCACAAAGAGATGCCTGAAGACCAGCAAGCACCCGCCACAAGGGGACAGGGATGGGGAAGTGGGTGCCCGGGCCCCCCCAGGCAGCACAGGAGGTATTTTCCAGACTATATGCACTAAGGCGCTCTCTGAGCTCACTGCCTGCCTGTCAAGCCCTGCTTCATGCCAGGATGCTCCAGCCTATAATAAGGGCCCCCAGGGAGCCGCCCCACGAATGCCTCCAGCTACACAGATGCTGCTCCCTCGGCCCCTGCGTCTTCCCTCCTGCACCTTCACGGGGTCAGGGCCCTTTCATCCTTTAAGACGCAGCTCAGCTCTGTACCCACTGGGAAGCCTTTTCTCAGCCCTCACCCAGCACCTGTGGCCGCATACGCATGTGCCCTCGGGAGTAGAAATGCACTCCAGTCTGGTCCCTCAGCACTAGGCAGGGATGCCACCCACATTCACCCCCACAGCAGGGCCATGGGTTCACTGCGGGTCCCCTCCTCACTGCAGCATGATCCCTCTGCCCATTTCCTTCGTCTGTCAGACGCACCATCAGCCCTCCATCCATGCAACCAGCTGATTAACAGATACCACAAAGAGTCCTGGAGATTACCACACCCCTACGAACACGGAAAGACGGCTAAAACCACATCACATGACACACACATATTCCACCAGCACTGGAACACTCATGGGTACAGAGTCCATGTGTAATGCCAAGTCCTCAGAGGAGGGCTCCTTCTTTATTTTAAGGAGAATGGAGGCAGAATTTAAGAAGTTAAATAGGGAGCTACGTGTCCACACAGCAACGCATAAAAAAACTTATTCCTACTCTGGGCAAGAGGAATGGTCTCACATATGGATTTCCTCAGGGACAGTATCTCTGTGAAGCAGAAATAGGCCATTTTTGTCTGTTAATACCCACCCCCTCCCACCCCCAGGTCCTTCTGTTAACCAGAATCCCTGGAAGACTGACTTTCCTCTGTTTCCTGTCTTGTCCCTATCTTTTCCCACATTTTCACTACATACGCCTGTCCCTGGGGGGTAGCAGGGTCATGCACACAGCCCCGTCCCCTGCCCCGCCCCATCTTCAGGCGATCCCTGGCTGGTCCCACACCCCTCTTTCCACCCGCAGCTCAGCATTCTGGGTCTTTAGGGGGAGTTTGTGCCAAGTTTAAAGACCCATCTTCTTACCTCTCTCTCCTCTGGCCAGGGCCATTGCTGGAAATGCTGCAGGAAGCAGCAAAAGCCTGCTGAAAGGAGGGCGTCGAGGGCGCGTCGGCCCGCAGCATGGTGGATTTGGGTCCGACGGGGCTCTCTGACATCCCCACGGCGTGACTGAGCGTCTCAGGGCAGCCTCGTGGTTCTGCAGCGAGAACACAGAAAGCAGACAGACCTCAGTTGTAGGACTGGAGAAATCACCATCTCTGCCGCTTTTGCATGTTACACAAGAAACAGTGTTAATTTTTGAGGCTTTCTGTCATCCATGGCCATACTGAACATGACATCGCTACCCAAAATAGGCTGGAGGAGGCGGCCAGCCCTACTCCCCCCCCAAGCACAGGTTTATTCTCAGGCATCACTGTTCCCAGAAACGAAGCCACTTAATTCAGTCCCCACACAAGGTCCAGCCCATTACCACGAGCTGGTCGGCCCCGGCATCCCTGTGGCCACGTGGGGAGATGGGCCTTGGGCCCTCTGGGCTTGTCCTCCCAGCCCCATCGCCATAAAGGCTGATGTCCTATAATGTACTCTCTACCCCATGATCTAGGCTGCTCCTTACTTTAGAATCGGCATGGTCTTTCTTCTGCAAACCAGCAGGCGGCTTCTCCCCAGAAGGACGGTAAGTGCAGGCCCTGCAGTGGCCGGGCGGCCTGGGTGTCCTCACTTTCCTTTGGTCCCCACCCTCCCGAGCTGGTAACTGGGCTATTGACATCGAGCACTACCAGGGCACAAACCCATGCTGGAGCTTTCCAGGTCAACCCTGCTGCAACAAAGGCCACAGGGCAGGGTGCAGGGGACGCCCTCACAGGCTGCGCCAGGACGCAAACCTGCCTGTGTCCCATGCCTGGGCGCAGGCACATTCCTCTGATGGAATTTCTGTTTTGCTTCTTGCCCAGTAGCTGCATTGTTTCTGGATATTTAAAACATCTTGCCTTTTGTTTTTCTTTTTTTAAACCAGGCTTCAAGGAATGGACACATCTACCATGGTCAACAAAATAATATTATTAGGCATGCTGGTCATTTTGTTTTCTGTTTCAAAACAAGCAAAGATTGATAAGAGAATAATAACATTTTAAAAAGTTCATTTAATTCATTTCCTGGAGAGGGTGCTGAAATTTAGAAATTTCCAAATAGACAACTCACAGGTCTATCACCTCACATGCTTGAAATTTGTGTTATTTTAATTACACTGAAAAAAGGCTACCTTTTTTATCCTTCAAATGAAAACGAACACAACTTAATGCCAGAACCACACTTTATAAAAATGATGTTTACTGAGAATATTCTGAAAGAAACTATCAGTGGCATATGTGATCTCTGAGGAATGAAATATATAAGGGTTTATATTAATCCAGATGTCAATGAACACTGGTCTGTGCATTATTCAGACCAGTGAGGAAGGAAAACCCTGACCACTCCACTAAATTACCCCACATACAGGGTGTAGTATCCTGTTTCTTTTTTAATTGATCTCTACAGAATTTGCACTATCAATTCACAAATGAAATTATTAAAAAGAATGCACTTCACTCCAATAAGGTAAATAAGCTCTATCTCCACCAAGACAGAACGAAAATTCTATTTTTTTCTTTTAATTAAATATTTCTGAGCCATTAAGCGATAAGAACGAAAATTCTAAAAATTATATTGCATCCCAACATATGTGAAGGGAAACACTTTTTCGATCACAAATGTTATTTCAATATGAATTAAAAATTACTATTTTTATTTAGCGGTAATTCTTTTCCTAATGAAACATTATAGATTTTTAAAATATATTAATCAGTACATAAAATGTCTGGAGTTATGCCTAAATTAACAACATTCCTAGCTATCTAATAGATCTTGGTAGAGAAAACGTGAACTTTAAATGCTTAATTTTCCATGAAACCTTAAAACCACACCTTTATATATCGAGGTATAACTAACATACAAAAAACTGAATATCCTTAAAGTAAACAATTTGGTCAGTCTGTCATATGTAAACGTCCATGAAACCATCATCACAACCAAGATAATTAATATTTAAATCGTCACTCCAAGAGTTCCCTCCAGCCCCTTCTCCTGCTCATATGGTTTCTGTCACTTTGCTTTAGCTTGCATTTCCAAAAATTCTGCATGACTAAAATCATTCATATAAACTCTTTTTTCCTCTAACTACTTTTACTTAACAAATTATTTTACGATTCTGCCACACTGTAGAACATATACACAGTTCATTGCTCTTCCATGGTGAGTACTTCTCCACTGAATGGACATAGCACTTTTTCTCAGTCCGTTCATTTGTTGATGGACACTTGGGTTGCTGCCATTATGGGGTTGCTACGTATATAAAGATGTAATGAACATTCCTGGACACTTTTTTTGTACTGACATATACTTTCACCTCTTTTGGGTGAATACCTAGGAATGGAATGTCTGGACCACAAGATAGGTGTCTATGTAACTTTTTAAGAAAATGGAAAACTGCTTCCCAGAGTACTGGCAATATTTCACATCCCCACCATCATTCCTGCGCCTGCTTGGTATGGCTGGCATTTTTTATTTTAGCCATCCTAGTGCAGGTCTAGTGGTATAACACTGTGGTTTTCATTAGCATTTTATTAATTACTAATGATGTTGAGTATCTTTTTATATACTTCTTAATAGGCATTTTATGTGTCCTCTGGTAAAATGTTTGTTCAAATCCTTTTCCATGTTTTCACTAGGATGTCTGCTTTCTTACTACTCAGTTTTAGCAGTTCTTTATATATTTTAGATGCAAGTCCATTATCAGATATATGATTTGCAAACATTTCCTGAGTCTGTTGCCTGAGCTGCTAAATAAGATTCACTTAAGAATCTTTTGAAGAGGCCGGGCACGGCGGTTCACGCCTGTAATCCCAGCGCTTTGGGAGGCCGAGGCGGGTGGATCACGAGGTCAAGAGATCGAGGACATCCTGGTCAACATGGTGAAACACTGTCTCTAATAAAAATATAAAAATTAGCTGGGCATGGTGGCGCGTGCCTATAATCCCAGCTACTCAGGAGGCTGAGGCGGGAGAATTGCCTGAACCTAGGAGGCAGAGGTTGCGGTGAGCCGAGACAGCGCCATTGCACTCCAGCCTGGGTAACAAGAGTGAAACTCCGTCTCAAATCATTTGAAGAACAAAATCTTATAATTTAAACCCAGTTTTTCAGTTTTTTTCTTTTAGGAATAGTGTGTTTGGTATTATATCTAAAATAGTATTTGCCTAATCCAGTCATAAAATATTTTTTTCTGTTTTCTCCTAAAAATTTTTATAGTTCTGGAAGAATCTATATGCATACGCCTATGATCAATTTTCAGTTGATTTTTTTACACATGGTGTGAGGCATACATATCAACAAAGTTTAGCTTTTTAAATATGGATATTCAATTGCACCACTACCATTTGTTGAGACTATCTATTCCTCATTGAATTGCTTTTGTAATTTTATCCAAAATCAGCCAAATATTAAATCCATCTAGGTTATTTTTCATCTCAGACATTGGAGTTTCTCTCTCCAGTGAAATCTGGTGTAAACGTAGTTAAAATAAACGTCTTAATGTCCTTGTCTTAATGTCCATAATCTTAACATCAGCATTTTGTCCCCATTAGTTTTGATTGATTTGGTTTCTCTCTTAATTATATTGCCTATTTTCAGGCTTCTTTGATTGCCTGGTAATTTTGTATGGAACACCAGACATTGTAATTTTATGTTGTTGAGTGCTGGGTATTTTTGTATTCTTTATTTTTTTTATTTTTTCCCATTTATTTATTTTATTGCATTTTAGGTTTTGGGGTACATGTGAAGAACATGCAAAATTGTTGCATAGGAACACACGGGGCAGTGTGATTTGCTGCCTTCCTCCCCATCACCTACATCTGGCATTTCTCCCCTTGCTATCTCTCCCCAGCTTCCCACCCCCCACCGTCCCTCCCCTATTTCCCCCCAACTGACCCCAGTGTGTAGTGCTCCCCTCCCTGTGTCCATGTGTTCTCATTGTTTAACACCCGCCTATGAGTGAGAACATGCGGTGTTTGATCTTCTGCTCTTCTGTCAGTTTGCTGAGAATGATGGTTTCCAGGTTCATCCATGTCCCTACAAAGGACCCAAACTCATCGTTTTTGATGGCTGCATAATATTCCATGGTGTATATGTGCCACATTTTCCCTATCCAGTCTATCGTCGATGGGCATTTGGGTTGGTTCCAGGTCTTTGCTATTGTAAACAGTGTATTCTTATAAATATTCTTGAAATTTATTCTAGGATGCAGTTAAGTTGCTTAAAAACAATTTTATCTTTTTGGGTCTTGCTCTTCACATTTGTTAGGAAGGCCTGAGTCATGCTCCATTTAATGCTAATTATCTCCCACTACTGAGGCAAAACCCTTCTGTATATTACCCAATGCCCAGTGAGTCTTGATACTTTCCTCTCTTGCTTATAAGAACAGGCACTATTCCCAGCCCAGGGTTAGCACTGGGTTAGCCTCTCCTTCCAATATTCTCCTTTGGTTCTTTCCCTGGCCTTGAATATCTCTATCATCCTCCTATGAATTCCCTGATCAGTGCTGAGGTGAATACATACAGCAGATCCTCTGCAGGCCTCCACAGTTCTCTGTTCAGCCTTCTTTCCATCCTGCACAACATTGTGGTCTCCCCAGAGTTTCAACTCCAGCTGCCCAACTCAGTCTCCCAGATTCTACCTGAGTTTCCTCTCCCTGCCTTACACCTGGAAACTTTCTCAAGGTGGTAAACTGGGACAACTGCAGAGTCACCATGTTTGTTTCTTACTTTTCAGGGTTCACTGTCTTTTACTGCCCGATGCCCATTGTCTTGGAAGCCATTATTTCATAAAGTTTGTCCATTTTTTGTTTGTTCAGGCAGGATGATCAACCTAGTCTCTATTATTCCATCCTGACCTGAAACATACACCTCTAATCTTTCATATTTAAAGATGAACAATTCACTGAAATTAAAGTTAACTTATCCATTATACAATAATTATAAATTATTGAACTTAACTCTATAAATTAATATCCCCAAGACTTATAGTATTTGAAATGAAAAAGAGCAAAAAAAAAAAATATGCTATGAGAGTATGTCTAAAACATAATTGTGGAATAATAAAAATACCTCA